TTAATGTATTTGAATATTGATAGAGATTGATTTACTTTTATTCTAATTTTCACAGCTTTTTGTATGTAATTCAGTATTTTCCCCATCTCTAAGCAGAAGTAAAAACTAAAAGAATTTGTTAGTCCTAAGCTTCCTTGCCAACCACAATGTAAAAATATCAAAATATCAAATCATGAGTTTAAAAGCTTTAAACATATGTGAAATGAGGAAACCTTATGACTTTTTGTTGACATGGAGATTTTTATCATTATAAATGGTACATATATTTTACGGCACCAATATTATCCTTCTTCTCTCGTGTCCTTGTCATAAACTAGATGGTTTTTTTCCAGAGTTGTGCTCAAGCAATGGTTCTTTTCATTGCTGCAGTGAGGTTCTCCTTCATACAGGTCTCACCAAGGAGTTGGCAAATGAGCACATGCTCCATGGTCTGTACTTTAGCATACTCACATGTATTCATGTAATTAGAGTAGCCCCATTTGATCATGTTTATTTTGGCTCTTCCAGTTTGCATGTGCAGGTGGTTCAGGCATCTCCATGTTGACTAGTCTGTATCAGCCCCTCTGATAAAGTCCTTCTGGGGTTCCAGATCCATTTCAAGGCATCTGGTTGCATGTAATCTTTCTTTCCATAACCTCAGTCACACCCTGTAGCTGTTGTGTCCAAGGGCACGACACTGGTCACAAAACTTTTTTTGTGTTTCAAGCCATTTAGTTATTTCTGTGTGACTGTAGAGTGGATGCCTTGGGTCTTCTTTCTACTGTGATCTTTCTTTTTGGCTCTCTATTTTTCTTCTGATATCAGATGGTGTAATGCCAGCCAGTAACTACAAGCTATCCATTGGTATTGGCTTTAGACATCCTGTTATTTCACAACCTCTGTTGTTTCGAACTGCCTAGTTTGTTGGCATGAACTGATTGTTCCCATACTGGACATGCATACTGGACAATGGAGTAACACAAGGCAATAGCAGTGGTTCATAGTGGGACTGGGTTTGCTCTCCATGTTGAGGTGGCCAACTTTCATAGGATGTTGTTACAGGCACTAACTTTCGCTTTCATCTTCTCTACGTGTGCTTTGAAGGAAAGTGTTCAGTTCAGTGTAAACCCCAAGTACACAGATTTAGCTGGTTAGTCTGTGGGAGTCCATCCCAGGTGATGTTTAATTTCTGCTTGGCTTCTCTATGATGAAAGTGAAAGGCTGTGCCCAGTGTCTTTGTTGTGTTGGTGCAAAACTGGTTCTTATTGTAATAATCTGAGAGGATACATAGTGGACATGTCAGTCTGTTCTCAACAGTGGCAAAGTCCTTCTCTTGTGATGTGTTGCATAGAGCTTCAGCATATATGAAGCTTCTCATATTTCTCTGTATAGGTTGATCATTGGTATACATATTAACAAGGATGAGTGCTAGCACACTGTCCTGTGGGAGGCTGTTTCATTGTCATCTCCAGCAGCTCTTTCTTACACAGTTCTACATAAAAACAACTGTTCTTCAAAAGAGAATGAATGAACTGCACTAGGTGGTAGCTTTATGTCATATCATAGACTTTGGCAAGCAGGCTTTGTTGGATGATTGTGTCATATGCTGCTGATAAGTCTACAAAACGAACACCTGTTATCATTTCTTTCTCGAGTCCATCTTCTATATGCTGAGTGATGTTTAGTATTTATCCAGTGCAGGACTTGCCTGGTCTGGATCTGATTTGTTCAGATATTAGAAGTTGTTTGAGATGAGGTAAGAGGTAATTGAAAATAAGGCATTTATAAAGATGGCACAAGAGTGATGCTGGCCTGAAGTTCTCTGGATCAGAGACATCTTTCCCTGGCTTTAATACAGCTATTACACAGGTTTGTTGCCATAATTTTGGTATTCTAAGGGTTGATGAAAAATTGTTAAAAAGGTGTAATACCTATAACTTGGTTGTAGGACCAAAGTGCTTGATCTGCTCCATGCATAGTTAATGTCCAGCTACTTTGCCATTCTTCAAGTGACTTATTCTGACATTGAGTTCAGCAATTGTGTATGGCATGCTAAAATGATTTTCCTCCATATCAGTTTGCCATCTAATCCATATTTTAAGCTGTTTATTCAGAGCTTTGCCATTGAGCAGAAGCTGATGAGGAACCTGGTTGCTTGTGCTGTTGTGATATTGCTGTACTTTCTTCAGGTCATTACTCAGTTTACAAATGGGTGACCATGCTTTCCTATTATTGTGGGTCTTATCTAAGTGTACATGGAGCATATGGTATAGTAGGAATAAAAACATGTTTAGCTATGATGGTGATGGGCACATTAGATATTCGAAGGCAGATAGTGGTTGTGCCCTTATTACTAATATCACACAATCATTAACTCCTGGTTTGAAAATAGATCTTTTGATTTTCAGGGTGTGTGGGGTGGGGCAGGATTCTGCTGCAGAGAATGCTAAGAACGGTTGCAGAAGAGGTCCTAATTCTACAATCCTTATTAGAGCAAATGTCATTATTAAGGACCTACCATATTTCCAATTTAGTGGATTTTGCAGATTTTGTGAATTCTGGGCCATGTGAACAAAATCCGTGGGGGAAAAAAAAACTGCTGCAACAGCTCACCGGGAGGGGAATGGGGTGGGGCAGGGGGGAACTGCCCACTAGGACTGCCCACAAGATAGCTAGCTACCATGCCTGCTCCTCACTGCTAATTGGCTGTGAGAGCTGCCTGCCATATGGCCCCGCCCCCTCTATGAATCAACAGTGCAGGGTGGAGCTGCATGACAGACACCCCTTGCAGCCAATTAGTGATGAGGGGCAGGGCCACCCAGGCCCCTCACCCAATCAGAGACATTTTCCCTGCAAATTTGTGGGATATTTTCCATGAATTAGGTAGGCTTCTAGTCATTAGCGATTAGTAGGATGTTTGCAGGGGAAGCAGTGTCAAAGAACCAATCAATGAACGTTTTCTGTAGATACTCAGATGGTATTGGTTCACATAGTTTATGTTTCACAGAATTATGTACAGAAATGTTATATTGTACAACTATTTCAATTGTAATTCTTAAGCCTTTTGTAAACTGACTTTCAAAAACAAACCTTCAATACAGGGTGCTAATACCATATTTACTCCAATACAAGATGATTTTTTTTCCTCAGACTTGGGAAGAGAAAAGCCTCTTCTTAGAGTCAAGAATCAGCCTGGGGCAGGCAGCAACTCATTTCTGGCTTTGGGAGCAGACAGCAGGAAGGACCAGGGGGTGGGAGTGAGGGCACAGGGGACAAGGGGTGGAGGGGAGGTGGTAGGGAGAGTACAGGGTAGGGATAGGCACAAACAGAGGGGCAAAGGGGGAAGGCACTCAGGGCAGGTGGCAGGGTCCAGGCACAGGTACAGAGTGTGGGGAGGGATGGCAGGCAGCAGGGTGCAACTTAGCAGGGGCAGGAGGGTAAAGGGGAAGTTTTCAGGCATTAGGAGGGGCAACATGTCATGGGCAAATGGTGGTGGGGCAGGCACCAGGGGGTCAAGGAAAGGGGAGTCCAGCAGGGTGGAGAAGGGGTTGGGGGTCTGACCCCTCCCCCATCCCTACCACTACTTTCCCATCAGAGCAGTGGGGAGACAAATTTAAGATTACCTCCTACTCATTAGATTCTATACATGGGCAATTGTAACATTTATAATTTTCTACTTATAGAATCTAATTATTGGGGGATCACTTTAAATTCAAAGTTGTTTTGGATTTGGATATCTATGGTATTATGTGTGTGCATTTATTATGTAAAATACATAATTCTCTGGCACAGTGGCACTCTACAATAAAAGTAAGGTGCATTTGTATGGTAGACAGAGCTTTCAGGCTCCTAAGGCTAGCTTTAAGTGATGGAGTGGGCTTCTCAGCTGGTAAGGTCCACAAATGTCATCACCGCGTGCTGTAAGAGGTGTTTGCCTTAACCTGGCCTTTTCTAATATAAAAACATAGCAACATGTATACTTAAAACAAATAAAGATCCTTTCCAAAACAAACTACTCCACTGTACATACTTCTTTCACCAGCAGCATAATAGGCTGTAAAGTGGAAATGAATTACATTTATACCCATTTCAGGGCCCATTTACATCACCAGAGAAGGGGCTTTTGAATAAATGAAAATCAGGCCCTTGTGTGAGAGTTCTAATCAATTTAAACCCTCAGAAAACAAGCTGTTCCTCCACTCACCAATGCTCATTTTTGTACAAAAGCTATTGAATAGGATGGAACTTATTGTTTAGTCTCAGAAAAATGCTCTTGTACTTAACCTTTTTTTATGTCTATTTTTTGTGCTTTATTTCCACAGACTAAAACGGGTATTGCATTGTTATATGATGACGGATCTGAAAATGCCTATGACATCCGACTTAAGCTTACCAAAGAGGTACTAACAATTCAAAAACAAGATGTCATCTGTATTAGTGGAAGTGATTGCAGTGCAAATGTAAGTGCTTCTGTATTTATGTGCTTCCCAACTCTGTATTATAGTTCACAGTAATCATAATATGAGGTTATCAGAATGTGAGCTTTTTTGTCATAAAACTCATATATAAGGAATGAACCATATTCATTTACCTTACAATGTACAAAGATATATGTATTCACACATAGGGGCTGATCTAGGGGGTGGGGAGGGGAAGGGGGGTAGGGTGGCAATGGTACAGTTGCACCCAGCTTGATTCCTGATCCACCCAAACTTTAAAAAGAGCTGCCTGGGAGAGGCAGCAGCATTTCTTTTTAGGCAGTGCTGAGGGAGTCAATTGACTTCAGGGCTTACTTTAATATATCTGGTTCCTGCTAATCTCAGGTGCTAATGACCCTTTCTCCTTTTTAATGATCTTTATGTATCATTAACTTATCTTTTCTTCTGCAATTTTGGTGTCTGTTAGCCATTTCTAGTAGTATCTCTCTTCTGTTTCACAGCCCCGAAGATTGTTTTTAGTCCTAGCTAAAAACTAACTCAGGTGTGGTAGCATTAACTCAGGTAAACATTAGGGAATTTGGGGATATCCTGTAAGTTTGTAATACTCCATGAAGGATTAATACAAAATACATACCTCAACTATATTTACATAGCTTTTTCATTTCTGCCAGCGTTAATATTTATAATCCTCTTTGTTCAACGCCATTCAAAAATAACCCAATACAAGTTTTTAGTATAAGTTAGAAATGTTAATTAATGGCCTGAGGATGTTGTTTATAGAGGAATTCAGTGGGACATGACTTGCTTTTTAAAATGTGAGAGAGTGTGCTATATCTTGTGATACGTTGAGGACCTCAGTGTCATTTTCTAGTTCAGAGATGGAAACAAATGCTTTAGGCAAAATTATCAGTTTGTGTAGACCTTCCATTTCACTGAGAGGCACAATATTTGAATCTCTGACTGAGGAATGCTGCATCATCTGTTGGTAGTACCAAAAGTTACATGTAAGCTGTGGTCACAGTAAAATACAATATATGGTGTTTGTCTGCATAAACTTTTATGATGTGCCTGTCTCAATAATTTCTTATATGCAAATTATGAAAGGAAAGGGAACCCTTTCCCATTTCCTCATTTTTTCTTGTCTTTCTGTCTTTCTGTTTGTCTGTCTTTTGATTGAATCAATTTCTGGGTGTTATGTTCTAGATAGGAATATGTTGAACCACTCTCTGAACTGATTATTAGGATGGTGTGTATACAAAAATATGTTTTGCTTCACCCTCTCAGTGCCTAGATTTGGTTTCATCCTGAATTTTTTTGATGGAATTCAGTATCACATTCAGAGGGCCCTCTATTTACCTTTTTCTGCTTTGAGAGTACTGTGTGAGGTTCAGACAGAAAGGTGATTTAAAGATCAAATTTAAAGATAAGAACAAGGACTTGAAACAGATTTGGGAAAGAAGAGTCACTGTGGAGGTAAAGTAGATGTTGTGTAGGTCAGAGTACTTTCATGACCAGACCTAGTAAAACAGCTGGTAAGCCTGGAGGTGAGCAAGGCCCTTGTGTGCCCATCAGAGAGCTACTGCTCTTTCTGGAAGCTGACATGTTGTAGTGCAGCTCTGAAGGACTTGAAGCTATCAGAGGCAATTCAGGTGGCAATTTGGTTTTGACTGGTAAAAGTATACTTGGGTTAAAGCTCAGAAAATCTTAGATAACGGTTCTTTTTACCGCCAGCTGAGATAGCTGGGAAGATCAGCTGACAATGCTAAGTTGAAATTTCAGGTATTTGTATGGAAGGAATTCCCCAGAGATGTCCCACAACACACCTGCTGCTGCTTGGACAAAGAGAGTCTGTAATTTTGTAATCCCTGGCCCAGATTACTAGGCTTGTATATTTGAATGAAGCTCTCTCTAAGGAAGTAGTTAGAGTTGAGTGTGTTCCTTTATTTCCTTGGTGGGTTAGATTATTATTGTTCAATGTTTTCTTTACATTGCTTTAATTGGATTTAATATTTTCAATGTATTTAACAGCTGTATATTTCAGTGGTCTAGGGTCCTAGATATATTTTTGAAATAGACAAACTTTATAAGTGAAAAACGTTCTGAACATGCAATTCTATGATAGTTGGTTGCCTATCCCAACATTATTTTCCTGATGTTCAGCAGATGATCAGGCACAGAAATCTAAATTGTAATACTCAGATCAATTGCATTTCAATGGTCATTGCAAGGTTTTGTGAGAATTCTTTCAAAAGAGATCCATTCATACAGGTTTCTTTTGCCAGTCCACACAGTATCAAAGTATGCTATGACCTTAAATTAAATAGATTATTTAATGTGGGTTCTTTACATTAAATTTTGACATCCCTATAGAAAATCAATGAACTCTGGTGAGAAAAAAATTATTAAAATAATTGTTTCTTAAACTGGGATAGTATAGGCAGTATCTGAAAAGCAAATATTATTGCCTAAACTCTTTCTGCTTCTAGAACTCAGGAGAAACTATAGGATTCTCAACATTAAAAAGATGACTAATTTAAGTACGAAAAGGAATGAAAATTTTCATTGAGTATAAACTATTAGTAAAATAGATACAGACAGTTAACCTGAAATTAGGCTGAAAAAGTAAGATGGCATTCTGGCAACTTGTGTGATAATTATGATGTTTTCTACATGCTGCTATCTAAGAAAAGATGAATGTTAGATGCAACAGAATGGCAAAGAATTGGACCTGTCTCTTCCTGTAGCATTCATATATGCATATACAATTACACACACACACACACACACACACACACACACACACACACACACACACACAGAGATATTTGTATACATGGGCACTTTAAAAATGATTTTATAACCAGCCTATGCAACTTATTATCTTAAAGTTTTTATCTTTGTCAACTTTTGTCCCAAACATAACTTTGTATGCTGTTACTCATAATTAATCTGTACTTTTATGTCTAGGTACTCCTACACCCCCTTCACCACAGTGGATCCCCAGCTCAGAAAAATATTGATTGCTTACTTTTTTTTCTGTTGTCCCTTCTAAGCATGAAGAGTTAAATTCCCAATTTATGGGTTTTGAATTTGCTGTTTACATTTGGATGAGCATGTGAAAAAATAGTGTAAGAAATTAGTCAACTTTCCCGGTGATCTAAAAGATAACAGCAGCCAGCAGAAAGTGTTTTTAAAATCACTGCTCAAGTTGAGCTTTACTTCTTATTCAGTTGCCAAGGACGGTGTCAACAGAGGAGTAAACGTAGAGTGTCTGTTCACTGATCAAGGAAGTGGTGCTCAACCCCTGACCCTCAAGACAGACGTGACCTGCAGAGTTGTGTTATCCATCTCCTGGGTCAGGAATTTTGATGAGGGAGTAGTAGCAGCATTAATTGCTTCTCCCCTGCCGGCAAACTTCCAGATCTGTGGGAAACCCCACAGGCTGTACAATGTGGCCCCATATACCAGATTGTGCCAGTGTGCAGCGTTGGGCCAGCACACCAGATCACACCAATAGACTGATCCTACTTATGGGTCCTGCTGGTGGACATGGTCTACACCATTCATTTGGCCTGTGGGAGCCTATAGGTTGAGTATCACTACTCCAGAGCAGGGGACAGCAAACTGTTCAAGTCATGGGGTAGAACAACCCAGCTTCAGTCTGGCTGGGAGGCTTCAGCAGCTTGATGAGCCTGCTGGGTTGTGAACATAACTTCCAGCTGGAGGGGAGCTGCACTGGGGCTAGACAGCTGGAGCCATGTCCATGCTGCCACCACCACTGAACCAGTCAACAGGCTGTAGGTTGTTGACCCCTGCTCTGGAGGGAACACATGCATAGGAGAGACTAGAATGTATCCCCAGAAAGGTCTAGACAGAGACCAAGATAGCTATTGGCTCAGTCTCAGGCTTTTCTGACATCTTTGATGCAAGTGTTTTTGTTCAAAAAAAAGAAAAAAAGAAAGAAAAGTAAAAATATCAAACGAACAAGTGCTTAAATGTTCCTCTGTGGCTATGCAAATAGCAACACCTAGTTAAAGGAAAGTTCTGCCTTCTGATACTCAGACATCCAAAAATAAGGGGAAAAGCTACATCATTTAACCCTCTGTTGTTTATTTTTCCCTATGTCTGAGGAGTTGATTTAGACATCCAGGAAACAGAAATCAAATAATACTATAGGGCATATTTTTACATATCTTAGCCTATTACTGCTGTCAATTTTTGAAAATGCTTCACCAAAGTTTGGACCACCAAAAAATAACATTTATTGCTTATAAATAGCATTGTTATTTCATCTTTAAACAGTTGTATGAGAGGTAGGAAATGTAACTGAGCTTCCCTCCAGCTCAAGCTCAGTCAGTGGGAAGGTCTTAAGAGTGTTGGCGGAGTGGTGGGGCAAAAGCAGGATGCAGTGGTTTGCTGCAGCTTGGGCAGATATCAACAAAATGAGGGAACATTACACAGCAATAGTAAATCTCTATCTTCAGTTCTGGCTCCTATGCTACTGCCACTGCACTGTCCTCCCCACCGCAGGAGCCATAACAGCCCCAAAGAAGAAGTGGAAGAGGGGCGGGGAGATGAAGGGAGGGCAAAGTGCTTCCACTGGTCTATTCTGCCTCTTCCTGCCCTTTAGGCAGTACCCAGTGTTCATTATCCTGATCACCCATCCATCCTTATGGTACTGGGACCATGAAAGTTTGTCAAGGTTATCAAGTACAATAATATAATGTAGATAGGTGCTGAAGTTTGAGGATCAAATTTCCGAAAAGTACAACAGAAAAACCAAGCCATTTGATATTCCAGTATAAAGAGGTCACTCATGGATTTCACTTTGTATCATTGTGTATCATCTTCAAACTCTCCAGAGCTAATACAACCCAGTAACCCATATGTTTTTTATTGCATGCCAATCCATAACAGTTAAATATTAACTGTAAAACATGTTACAGGATGTTTTCTCCATTTATAGAAAACACATTTTATCCTGTACATCTCTTGTGAATTGTCAGCAGGGTTTGAACTCT